CGCACGCACGCACGACACACACACACACACACACACACACACACACACACACACACGCGCGCGCACACGCACACGCACACACACACGCACACACACACGCACACACACACACACGCGCACACACGCACATACACACACACAGGTGGTGCTGGAGCTCACGGGGGCAGCGCCCATGGTGGTGTCATTCCAGCACAACGCCCCGATGCACATCAGGCAGGCCACCCACCTCGCCACTGCCTGACCGGCCCCGGCAGCCACAGGCGCAGCCCGGCCCCAACACGCGCGGCGCCGCGTGTGGTGTGTCCCGACAGGTTGAGACTTGGGGGCAAAGGGCAGCCCCCAAGGGGCACTGCAGCGCGCCTGTTCGCATGCAGTGGAAGGCACCCGCAGCGGGTTCTGCGCGTATCGTTCTGGTCATTAGCTTTGCAGGCTCGCAAGCTGGCATTAATAACACACACACACGTGTCACTGTTTGAGATTTGACTGTGATGGACATTCTATTTGGGGGCGCAGCGCGGCCCTGGGGTTGAAGCTCGGGCGCCTTGGTCACGCCAGCGCAGCTTCGCATGCCACACTGATCTGCTCGGAAAGTGATGTCACCCTGTGGTGACGGAGTAACCGTGGCCCGGTTGCCTGTGGATACGACTATGTGGCAGCTGCCAGAGCCCGTCAGAAGCCTCCCTGATACCTCCTGAAAGCATTCTGTCGGCTTGGTCCAATGTGCTCAGGGTTTCTTCGGTTTTTGACCAACAAGCTTTGGCAGATTCTCAACACGAGACGAATGCCCCTGATGCCCCTGACGGCGTGCAGGATGGACGGGAATGATCCGAGGTCGTCCCTGAATCCTTAAACCCCAAGAGACCCAGGCAGGGGCCAGCCAGGGCCACGGCGTTTCACCGGAGGGCAGATGCGCAGGCTGAGTCGGCACCATGGCGCTTGCGTGCGCGAAAGCCCCCCTTCGCAGGTGACAAGTCTGGTGTGACCTGGCTGACCATCACCCCTCTGTTTACATGACTTTTCCTGGGTCACAAACGCGCCGTCACGTCACTGCACCAGCTTCTGACCAATTGTGGGCGCGCTGGGCACCAAGGCGGTTGCTCTCCGCCGCACTTTCCAACAACGGTCTGTATGTGGATGCCCTTGAGCCTGCTAGCCGGTGTCTGCGAGTATGAAGGATGCTGCTGCTTGCATGGGGGCATGCGTGGGCAAGGTGTGACGCGGCGTGGCATCCAGGCGTGCCCGGCGGCATCGATGCACACCGCGGTGACCAAGGTGACTGCTACAGCACATGCACACGGTTCAGGGATCATTGGAGTACTGATAGCGGGCATGTAGATGGTATATTGCCTCGTATGTTATACCCTACCTACATATGCCTTCGCGCGCGGGATGAGACCTCCGTCGCTGATCCTGGGGCCCGGGCGGCCTAGAATCCACAGCTGTCGCACGAGCGTTGTGATCGCGGCGAAGAAGCCAGCACAGCGCAAATGGCGGGCCAAGAAGACGGGCTCTGCAAAGGAAGAGTCGGCCATGAGCGAAGGCGCGCGGCACGCGAAGCAGCAGCAGCAGGCGGCGGCGCAGTGTCGCGCAACCCAGCGGCTGCTGCTGCACGGCAGCCAATGCCTATGTACTCAGAAACGACACAGTCATTCTGATAGCCCACCCGCATGGCGCCCATGCGGCCCCAAACAGCAGCACTGCCCCGCTCGAGTGGCACATGCGACACGGCATCCCCTCTGCGACCTCTGCAGGCGCCCCCACCCCCTCCCACCCTAAAACTCGCGTACCCTCTGCCACCCCTCCGTGCCGCCCTCAGCCGAGCTGCTGCGGGAGCTCAACTCTTCAAATGATTGGATGGCGCCTGACGGGGACGCAGACATGTTCGGCCTCGAAAACGTCGCAGGTGCATGGGGCGCGGCGTGGCACGCAGACGCGGCCATCCCTTTGTACGATTTTTGTTAGACTGCGCCACGCCCGCGCGGCGCGGGTGCTGGCGCACGCGCAGCGCCGCGCCTCTTATTTCAAATGCGAGCAGCCAGCAGTACGCCTTGGTTTCAGAGAGAGGTCCACGCGCCCACCGGCGCGGCTGTCGCTGCAGCATTTTGAATCTGCACCTCATGTGCAGGCCGACACGGCGGTGCACCCGGCTCGGTGGCCCCGCGCCGGCCGCCACCTGCAGCTACTCCTCTGCACATGATTTGCGACCCCTCAACCCCATGTGGCGTCGCTCCTCATCCCCCACGCAGCCCATGCGCGCCGCGGCGACGACCCAGACAGGCCGGCGCCCGGCCGGCGGAAAGGCGGCCGCGGCGGCAGGGGTGGCGCCCCCAGCCCTCTGGACGAGCTCTCGGCAGCCGCGGCCGCGGCGGCCGCGGGGCGGGAGGGGGAGGTGCCCAAATGGGTGAGGGAGCTGCAGGCAGAGGGGTTTGACGTTTTGGGGCGCGGCGGGGAGCTGTTCATGCAGCGGGGCGCCGCCGCGGGCCCCGCGGCGCCGGGTGCGCGGCAACAGAGGGACGGATGGGAGGAGGAGGAGGAAGGGGGGTTGGACAGGGGCGGCGGCGGCACAGCCCTGCGGCCGGCGGTGGGCACTGGCAGGGGC